GAAGCATTTACTAGTTTATGCCAATAAATTTGAAAAACAGCTACTTTGTCAACTGACTTGAAGATGTCCACATTTATACCCATTCCAAAGAAAGGTGACCCCCCCAAATGCTTAGATTATAAAATAATATCATTAAATATCACATACAAGTAAAATTTTGCTGAAGATCATCCAAAAACAGTTGCAGCAGTACATTGACTGGGAGCTGCCAGAGGTTCAGGTTGGATTCAGAATGAAGGGTATCCTTGCTGATGCCAGATGGATCTTGGCTGAAAGCAAAGAAACCAGCAAGATGTGTGGATATAACAAACTGTGGTTAGCCTTTAGAAGAATAGAGATTCCAAAACACCTAATTGTGTTCATGACGAATTTGTATATGGAACAAGAGGCAGTTGTGCAAACACAAGGGAAGACTACATGATTTAGGATCAGGAAAGGTGTGTATCAGGGTTGCATCTTCTCACCATGCTCCCTCAATCTGTATGCTGTGCAAATAAGCAGAGAAGCTCTACTATATGATTGAAACAGAATGTGGCATCAGGATTGGAGGAAGGTTCATTAACAATCTGAGATACGCAGATGACACAACTTTGCTTTGATGAGAAAAAGGAGGACTTGAAGCACTTGCTAATGACGATCAAGGCTTGCATATGTATTACAACTCAAGGTAAGGAAGATCAAAATCCTCACAACTGGACCAATAGATAATACCATGATAAATGGAGAAATGGTTGAAGTTGTCAAGGATTTTGTCTTGCTTGGATTCACAAACGTTCATGGAAGCAGCAGTCAAGAGATCAAAAGACACGTCAGGTAAATATGCTGCACAACCCCTCTTTAGAGTGTTGAAGAACAAGGATGTTACATTGAGGACTAAGGTGCGCCTGACCTAGGACATGGTATTTTCAAAGGCTTCATATGCACGTGAAAGTTGGACACTGAATAAGGAAAACCAAAGGAGAATCAATGCATTGGAATTGTGGTACTGGTAAAGAGTATTGAAAGTCTCATGGACTGCCAAAAGAACAAGCAAATCCTGGACTAAGTACAGCCAGAATGCTCCTTAGAAGCAAGGAGTGAGACATCACCTCATGTACTTTGGAAGTGTTGTCAGGAGTGAACTGACTAGATGGCAGCACCTAACAATAACAGCATTCGTTTTTATGAGATGGTTGCCTAAGGTCACAGATCCAGTTTCTAATAAGTAACCATGTGTTTTGGCCCCCTATACACTTTAAACTGTAAAATCCAGAATAGGGACTATGAAGCACCACATTTGTCTGTGGAAAGAGAGCAGAAAGATTCACTTCCTTTCTCAACAGCATTTGACCAGGGTGATAGATATGGGACAAACATAGCTCAGAATGTAGTGAATGAGATATCCCTTAAAGTGAGAGTGCATCCTAAATATCTAAATGAACAAAGCCCAGAAGATTTTCATCCCCATGTTACCAGTTTAAAATAATCAGTTAAGATTCAGACACAATGTTACAATTCTAAATAGTAATCCTATAGGACTTTTCTAAAAATACTTAAATTTATCATTCATTATACTTCAAAATCCTTTTTCTATTGAATAGACTATGCACCATATATATTTGAGTACATGCCAAGGCACCTAATTTTACCACAAAAAAATTGGGGGGGTGCTTTTTCAGAATAAAAAATGTGCTGAAAAAACTCAGCTTATACTCAAATATATATGGTATATCTATTTTGAACCTTCTAACCAGTGAAAAATGAAGCGAGGCAACTTCCCTCACTTTCTCTCTCTTATAAAATGCATTCTTGGCTAAATAACTCTCATTCAAATGAGTGACCGGGTCTTTTATCTGTGACTTTTGGAGGGAAATAACTGACGAGGTTTCCAGCAGCCTGGGATGCTAGTCAGCATCCTGTGTGATCTACTGGCAGGGCAGATTACTATAAATGTACACTCTACCCGCCCCCCTCGGTTTCATTTAACATATGTTGTAGTTTTAAGATAAACAATGACCTCAATCAATTTTTTTGGTAAATGTCTGTATGTAGTCAATTCCATAACTGAAGGTACATTAATTATCACAGCAGCTTCTTTAGAATGAGGGAAATAAGGTGAGTAAATGGTGTGTGGGCCTGTCTGACTTCCTGCGACCGCACAAGGGGTGGGAGAATCCAACTCCACATCTGCTCAAGGATGATTCCTGTGAGACAGAGGCAGACATGCCTACCCTCCACCCCCGCCCCACCCCCCCATCCTTCTTTACCCTCTTCTGACCCCAACCCTCCATCCTATGACACCCTACTTCCCTGCTGGGTTCAATAATCCATTGCAATGGCCCCACAGAACTCACAGATAATACAATTATACAAGTATAGGATTCATTAGGGAAGCTACCAGGTTACAGGTCAGAATCAAAAATCATGAAGCAAACGGTCCTTTTGTATGCATCTTCTCAGCCAGCCTCCTGCCCAAAGGCACTCTGCGTTATTCATTCTATGGAGCAGGAAGCCCACCTCTCTTTCCATGGTCTTGGTGCTGCAGCCTCTGATACCTCTGCTGCCACTGCCACTGCCACTTCATGCAAGGCTCTTGGGCAAGGATCTCTCCTGCACTCTGCCAGTGGCTCTGCACTCTGATTCATTGCGGAGCCACAGAGGAATGTTGAAACGGACCAACCCCTCTCTAGAGTCCGCTACACTTTATTTGGATGCTCCCTCTAGTCATTTGCTGGGAGTTACAGAGACTGTGGATAGGAGAGCCCATACCAAGTAATTTCACTTCACTGCACAGGAAATTTAATCCTAAGAACAAACCCATGATGTTGTTACTACCCTTTTTTTCTTCTTCAAATATTAGGTCAGAGAAGCTTCAAAACACATAACCAGTGAATGATTGAGCCAGAATTCCAGCTCACAGCTATGTGTTTGGACTACACTATGCTGGACGACACTGCTCATGCGGTTTCACCTCCCTGCTCTCTCTGGGGTCATTCACCCCTTCTCTTTTTGCTCCTCTGTTGTAGCCAGATAGCGCCTTCCTCTGCCTACTTAAGGTTCTTTCTTCCCCAGGTTACACACATTATTCTGTATAAGCCTTTCCCTTATTCCCTCTTCACCTAGACCAGGGCTTTCTAACACATTCTGACTTACACAGAGAACTATAGTTTGCATTATAACTGGAAATATAATAGACGCATATATTATATATTATATAAGGGTAAGTAAAAAAGCATTACTACAAAATCATAGAAGACTTTATTCAACAAAAGTATCAAAATTTAAAGCTGTTGTTTTTCAATATGTCCTCCATCTAGGTTTACACTCTCTCCCAGAGGGGTGCTTTCAACTGTGTAATTCCTCCCAGAAGATTTTTGTATTCTTTAATTTAAACCATCAAAATGGCAACTTTTGCATCAAGGGACTCAGAAATGTTCTGTGAGTCTTGGCAGCACAAGGAAGTCTGAAGGGGCAAGGTCTGGCTGTGGGGTGGCCAGGGCAAGCGTTCCCAGCAAACACCCTCACAGTGTTGCTTCCCTCAAAGAATGAGCAGATGAATCGTGGTGATGGGAAAAAAACGGTCTGAAGCAAATTTCCTGCATTTTCTCTACCAATGCTGTGTTCGATTTTCTTAAAACGTGTGTGTCATAAACTCTTGCAATGGTTCAGTGTCCTCTGAAAGACATTTACTAAGATTTCCCCTTGGGGATTCCAAATAAACAGCTGCCACAGTCTTTTCAGCTGCCTTCCTGAGAGGGCGTCTGTGTCTTGACCGTAACTTGCCCCACAGAGAGCTAGGAAGCCTGTTTTGTCTGGAATTTTTTTGTTTTGTTTTGAGGCCACCCTAACGAGACTAAGACACGTGCACTAACTATTGAGACACACGTTTCACTTTATTTTGCTGGAAATCCCTTGCATGTAAGACTTGGAGCCCCAACAGCATACTCTTGGACTCATTTTATCTATAGGCCCATGGGTGGGACATAGCCTTGCTCCCAGTTCCTGGCATAAAAACTGGCAGTCTGAATCCACCTAGCACTGCTGCTAGGCCTGGGGATATCCTTCCTTAAGGATTATAGCAAAAAAAAAAAAATAAAAAATCCTACGTTGTAGTTCTACACTGTTATATGGGATCAACCTCAGCCAAGATTGACACATACATGTATTTATTTTAGTCTTTTATTTCAGTTTTTTCTCATTTTATGTTTTGAAGACTATAAATTCAGTGGTTTAAAATATATTCGCAGAGTGCAACTATCTAATTCTAGAACATTTTCAGCACCCTAACCCAGAAAATCCAATATATGTATATATAGTTTCTTCCAAGGGCTTCCTGCAACAGTGCTTTGCTATGTGGGGTGTAAGCTGATGTTGTCTAGTCAATTCTACTCCACACTCCCCTCTATCCCATCCTTCCCTTCTTAGTACACACCAACCTTGACTGCACATCTCATGATTGCACCGTCACCAACTGTCTGGAAGACACTGCCCTAGGCTGTGCCAGATGTCACAGGACTGTTTTCTGACCTTCACCACACTGACAACTTCACCCGGAATGAACGCCTGCCCTTCCTGCAAAGTTGATGTTCCCTGAGGGCAGTGTCCGGCCCCCTCATGTGCCTGACCATTCCCCAGTGCCAGCAACAGTGCTGTGCAAGCAGTAGGTGCTCAATAAATCTTGTTGCCCGAACAAATGTCTGCCTTAGAAAGGGAACGTGCATGCCACACTTCTTGTTTGCCTCGTGGTCACTTGAATAAAAGGAAACTCGTTTGTACGTATAACCAATGTAGGCCAGCATCTGTGCGGCTTCTTCCTCAGCAATCAGGCTGTGGGCCTGTATTGTCCTTCTGGTCTCGGTGCTTCGTTTCCCTGGGCCTTCTCTGCAATCATTCTGAGCCCTCGGGTCACCGGAGGCTGACATGAGCCTACAGACATGAGCCTACAACACAGACTCGGCCCAAGCTTTGCAAGCCAGCAAGGTCCCTGTCCTGGGCCTCTGCCTCCCGCCACGCGTGTGTACCTGTCTTTGCCAGTCTCCTGCTTGAAGAGCTCATCAAACTGCAGCATCTGGTGGCGTGCGATCATGAAGGCCTTGAGCCGGGGCAGCACCTGGCTCAGGAGCTGCAGGTTGTTGTACACCTGGCCCTTGCCATCCCGCCGCATGTAGCTGCTGGGACCCCAGAAGATAAACACGGTGCCCTGGCTCACGTTAAGCAAGTCGTGGCGGTTTCGCAGGATCCTCTGGATGCTGGAATGCGCGATGACCCTCAGGCTGGTGCGATTGCCCACGTCGCGCCCGAAGCCGCGTGTGGGGGCGTCATTCATGCGGATGACACACTCTGTCTGGTCAATCCGGGCGCCGAGCCGGCTGCGCAGCAGATGTCCCGAGCTTGTCACCAGGGCGCAATCTTGGCAGTGCATTTTCAGGGGCTAGAAGGCAAGCAGAAGAGAGCGCTTCGTTGGCCAGGGGATTCAGCTCAGCTGGCCCCGGCAGGCTACCGCTCTGCCTCAGAAGGGCGCCCATGCTTCCCCTCAGAGCAGTTCCCTTCTGCGACTCTTCATTGACCTTCTTAGTCTGCTCCAAACGGTAGACTGGGTGAGTTGGGATAGAGAGAAAGCGAGCTAGTGTTAACTAACTGCAACCACTGTGCTGGCATTTTTACTAATGTTATATAATCCAAACATCACACCAACCAAACAAGGCTGCTAGTCTCATCATTTAACAGATGAGGCTATTCAGGCTGCCCGACATGAATCAATTTTCCCAAGGATATATAACTAGTTCAATGATAAAGCCAGGCGTTCAACAGTTTGGCAGGTCTTTCTGAATCCAGAGTGGCCCATCTCCTAAGACCAAGTCAAAGTCAAGTCCATAGTGCACCTCTTTTGATGCCCATAATTAAACTTATTGCAATTCAAATGAGGAAGGCCCTCAAGGAGATGGGTTGACACCGTGGCTGCAACAATGGGCTCCGGCCTAGGATCAATGATGAGGATGGCCCAGGACCGTGAGGTGTTTTGGGTTTTTTGTGTGTGTGCATAGAGTTGTCAGGGGTTGGAACCACTCCATGACACCTAAAAAAATCAACAGAACCCCCTAGGAAATGACATGCAAAGTGTCATGCTTTGGATGCTATCATTTGAAAGTGATCTTTAAGCTTGCTTCTCACACGCTAAGGGGTCAGAGAGATCAAGTGAGTTGGTCACAGGTAAAAGAAACTTCCCACCCTCAGCACTAGAGACCTCTTTACGGAAGCTGGGCCACTTGGTGCTTCCCCGGAGCAGCCCCACCGCCAGTGCTCATTTCAATAGGCACATGCACCAGGGGGTTGATATCTGGACACCTCAGTTCCAACAAAGTTAACATTTTCCTGTTTCTGATTCATGGGAAATAGCTCTTACTTGCTGCATGAAGATAATGTGTGTGTTGCCTAAGGACAACACCAGTTAGTACACAATAAAATGACAGTCTAGAACAGTGGTTCTCAGCCTTCCTAATACTGCGCCCCTTCAATACAGTGCCTCATGTTCTGGAGACCCCTCAACCATAAAATTATTTTCATTGCTACTTCATAACTGTCATTTTGCTACTGTTATGAATCGGGCAGCCCCTGTGAAAGGGTCGTTCAACCCCCCAAAGGGGTCATGACCCACAGGTTGAGAACTGCTGGTCTAGAATATTCTGAAAGAATGTTGCATTGCTAGTTCCTTCCCAGTGCCCCTGCCTTTCTTCTCTGTAACCTTAGAGCAGGAGACATGTGACCCTGCAGAGGTTCAAGAAAGGGAACCAAGATGGTACTCTCTAAACCCAGCTCACTGCCACCAAGTCAATGCTGATGTCCAGTGGTCCTCTAGGACAGGACAGAATTGCCCCTGCGGGTTTTCCAAACTGTAACTCATTCCGAGAGTAGAAAACCCAGTCTTTCTCCTGCGGAGTGCCCGGTCTTGCAGATCACAGCCCAACATGTAGCCATTACGCCGCCAGGGCTGTATTTTTATGGGAATTTCCTGAGCCCTAGCTTTAGTTTCAGAGCAAGAAATACAGCACCTTGAGGGCAGCTACAATCCTAGTCTTGTCTCCACCGTCTACCAGCTATGAGATCTTGGCAAGGCATTAATCGTAGCAAATCTGTTTCTCGATGCTAAACTGATGATTATACCTTATTTCACCATGGTAGAATGAGAAAATACCCATACACACAGTATTAGGCTGGACCAGTTGAAATGACCAATATTTGACTATTTACTATTTACTACTGCAATAACAATTCTTTTGGGGTGTGTGTGTGTGGTGGTGGGGGGGAGGACACTATTTGTGATAGTTAAGGTTTCATGTCAACTTGGCTGGGTCAGGATTTTCGACAGTTTGGCAATAATCCCCCATGACCTGACCTAATACAATGTAATCACAGCCAACCAGGTGTAAGCTTCCAAAATGGGATAACATTTGGGTGGAATACAACAGCCTTACTCAGTCAGGTCCCAGCCCTGGTACAATTCATTGTCCAGGGAGTATGGCCAGCTTCCAGTATAAATGGACGCTGTAGGAAGCTTGTTTGATTTTTGCTAGGTCTGGACCTTGCATCTGGCTCCTCAACCTTTGATTCTTCAGAACTGCCCCTTTGCCTGGTGATCCTGAGAGCCATCAGCACCCTGTCATCTGACCTTCAAATCTTGGCTCCATCAGCTCTGCAGCCACAGACCTGACCTGCTGAGCTTAGATTCATCCTCCTTTGTAGCAACCAGCCTGTGCTTCTCCTGCTGACTGTCAGCCCCTGTAGCTACTCAGTCAAGAGAAGCCTCCAGCCGAACATCTGAACTGTTGACTTACCCACTTGTACAACTGTGTGAACCATCTTCTTGATATAAATTTCTCTATATGTACATATATAAGCATCACTGGTTTTGTTTCTTTCAAGGTTCCAGCCTAAGATACCTAAGAGAGGGAATGGTCAATGATGTCACAAACCATAATATAATTATAAGGTAAAGGCCTGGAGAATGATTTTTGGACTTGGTGACCTCTGACAAAATCATCCCTTCAGTGGAGGTGACCAAAGTCTGACTGTGGTGGGAGGTGAGGTTGTAAAGGTGGGAATTTGACATAGAAGGGCTGATGGGTGTTGATGGTGCAGCACAGATCCACAGGGCTGACCAACATTCAAGGTGTCCAGCCAATCCAGTTGCCCATTAGGGATCCTGGTTTTATCCATGCAAATTTCTACATTCTTGGAAACCTTTCAGCCCTAGGCAAACTGAGCCCTTAGCTACCTTCTTGCTACTCATAGAGAAGCACATAAAAATGATACAAAGATGATAAGGGGTATCTGCAAATGGCACATTCTCAATAATGATCAGGGTCAAAAGACCCAGAGTCTAAAACATACTGAAAAGAAAAGGTATTAATGTTTTCATCAGTTAAAGAAAAGTAGGGGAACAACTAGATACTTGTGGTCAAATGACATTCATTTGTTTTTCATTCAAAGGACACCCACGGCGCGCTGACTGCACCTGGGAGGCCCCGTGGTAACGCAGCGCATTTGCTTCCTAAGGCATCTTTGGAAGATTTCATCCCAATGGACCCTGGGGTCATGGAACCTGCTTTTTCTCATCAGCCTATCTGGGAACTGCCACCCTTAATTTTCCAGTTTGGTAAGTTGTTTTCAATACATTGTGCCTATTATTACTCAAGAAACAGTTTGAAGAAAGGTCCCCGTAGCACCTCTTTTGCTCAGAATTAATTATTCTGCTTGCAATTTTCACAGCTGGAGGCTGGTAGACAGCTGGAGGCTGGTAGACAGCTGAAACACCCAAAGATTTCTGTCCTTTGCCCACAGGAGACAGGGAAAGCCCTTTTGTAGGGGAAGACAAAGATACTGGCCCTGCCACACTGACTCTATGTTGCACTGAGTTCAATCCAATTAGGTGACCCTAGGTGTGTTTGAGTAGAAATCTGTTCCAGGGGGCATTCAATGGCTGACTGTTTAAAAGTACATTGTTAGGGCTTCCTTCTGCAATGCCTCTGGGTTGGGCTTGAACTTCCAACCTTTTAATTACCCAACTCAATTTAATTTCAGCTGAGAATTAATTGGCCATTTTCACTACTTACTAACAGACCTATGATGACTCCAAACCAAAAAAGAATCAAACTCACTGCCATTGAGTTGATTCCAACTCATAAGGACCCTGTAGGGAAGGACAGAACTGCCCTGTGGGTTTTGGAAATTTGCACTCTTTTTTTTTGTTGTTGAAATTTTCACTCGTAATAGGAGTAGAAAACCTCATCTTTCTCCTGAGGAGGCGCAGCTGGTGGCTTTGAACTGCTGACCTTGCGCTTAGCAGCCCAATGAATAACCACTGTGCCAGCAGGGCTAGAAACTAAAAAATAAAACAAAACACAGCTGGACCCTAGTGTGCAGTACGTTTGGCATTGGTTCAAATCCACCCGTCACTTTGTGTGAGAAAAATGATGCTGTCAGCTCCAATAAAGATTTACAGTCTCGCAAACACTATGTAGGGCCACGGAGTCAGAATCAATTTAGTTTTTGGTTTGGGTCCCACCCAATCCACGTTAGCTCGGAGGTCTTGACTTCTACAGGCACCTATACTCATTCTTTGAGTTGTGCAGATGCACCACACGGCGTGAAGAAGATTCAAGTCTGAACTATGCCTGAAGTGCCTGTTGGCATGTGGAACCAATACGATGACAATCGTTGCTCTAAACATAGTGTTACATTTCTTGTAGTCGGGAGCGCATGTTCCACAGGCTGAATCACTCCCAAAGGAGGGGAAATGAAGTCTGTTCTCTGCATTCAGAGTCACTGATGTGGTCTTGGGAGGAGAATGACGAGCGTGTTGCCTGTTTGGCCCTGTTTTCTCCGAACACCTTACAGTCCTCCGAGAGTCACAGCTTGGCACCGCTAACTTCAGCTTCTTAATGATATGGGTGCACAGACTCATGCCCGAGTGAGTTAGGGTTTCTGATGCAGCATTTACATGTACTTCCTTAAGCACTCATACGCTGGGTTGATGGATCACTAAGTGAACTTCAGGAAGGTGAACTTGAGGATCTGGGAGATGAAGTACCGCTAATGACTTGGGAGAGGAAGCAGCTCCCAGGGCCCTTACTCCATAAACCCAAACAAAACTCATTACTGTCCAGTCAGTTCTGACTCACAGTGACCCTACAGGACAGAGTAACCCCTTTCTCCTGGGAGAATGCCTGGGGAGTTCAAACCACTGACCTTTTGCTTAGCAGCACAACACTAACTCTACTGTACCCTCGTCACCCCCGTCTCCACTGCTCTGCCGGGCCTGCTCTCTGGCTTCCCTCTCATAGGAATTAAGCATCCGTGATCCTGTGGGACATTTTCCTTCCACTGCATTCAGCGTGTGTTCCATCCATTACCAGAAGACACAGCCACTCCTATTAGGGCCACCACAGTCTTGGACCTTATTTTCCTGTTGTAATCCATGCAAACCCCACCCACCAAATTATATCCCACCGGTGGCGGCTGCCTAGTGGATTCAGACACACGGCAACCCATGTGTATCTGAGTGCCATCGCCTGTGTTCTATTGGGTTTTCAGTGGCTGACATTTTGGAAGTAGATTATCAGCCTTTTCTTTCGAGGGCACGCTAGGAGGATTCAAACTGCCAACCTTCTGGTTAGCAGGAGTGTACTAACCCTGTATACCACCCAGGGATTCCTGACCCATAGAAAGCACTTTGCACGGAGTAGATGGGTGGATAGATGAGGAAATGACGTACCCCCTAAGACACAGAAACAAGATGTAATGTGGTGCCCTTACCTAGAGTTTGCCTGTAAATGCCAGCCTTTGGCACGGACACTGTGGAGACAAGAAGAGAGCGAGCCGTGGAAGCTTTCTGTCTGCAGAGAAGGAGGCTGTGACCACTTGCCTCAGAGCAGCCTCTAGGCCCAGGCCACCATAATGGCCAGAGTCCAGGGCACTGTCTGGAATTAATGGCTGGCTGGGAAAATGGCCCAGGACACAGAAAGGGCCATTAAGCCCAGCCAGTTATTAATCCCTAGGAAGAGCTTGATGCCAGGGACATTAGAGCTGTTGCGAGGTGAAAAATGCTACAGAGCTAGGCGGAGTTGCCCTTTCTCCAGGCGGCTGATGATCACAGCTGTAGGCTGTCCCCCACGGGGTACCTATGGGGCACAAGTGAGCTGGCTCTCTCGAGGGAGCAGACTTACACACACAGTCATGAGTGTGCACACACAGAGCTTTCTGTTCTACGTGCTGTCACTTCTGTTCTTTGATAATGTGGTAGCGCTTGTCACCATCACCTGAACCCCAGCACTGGATCTGTCACTTGGTGGAGGCTCATGAATATTTTAGAATGTCTTAGAATACGTGAATGAGTCTATTTCTCCAGACCCCTTTCCTACCCACCGAAAGAAATTCAGAGACTAGGCGAGCGTGACAACTTTCATCACAACTGTGCGCTGTAGAGACAAGCGTAACCCCTGTTTGGGGACTGGTGCTCAGAGAATCAGGTCTGATTTCTGTCACAGCCCGAGGAACAGGAGCAGAGAGGGATTCGTCCTGTGACACAGTGATGCCTCCTGAGCATTCCTTAAGAGAATAGACCAGGCCAAGTCAAATTGAACTTGACACCGAAAACACTCAGTGATGGCCTTGCAAACATTTGCAGCCTGGCAACACCAGGCTTCACTTTTAAGAATTCTGATTTATTAGGCGGAGGAAAAGGTACCTCAGAGCATAGTGTCAGTTAGCTCAGTAATGAGACCATTCTTGCTCTGGGAGCTGCTTGCTGATCTGAAGCAAACATAAGACATATTAAATGGCTGCAGGTGTTTTCAGAATCTCTGCACTTTCCAATCTGATGTTTTCCTGTAATTACTGGTCTTTTATTAGCTGTCAATCTCAGTTCAGCCTGACACTGGATATAAACCTTTGTGATTATTTATATGATTTACCAGAAACATGTTACTCTTCTAAGTTGCCCATTTTTCTTTGATTCGATGAGAAGCGCCTCCACCAGCCATCACTACCAAGCAGTCCTCCTCTCTCTACCCGGGGCCACCTTCCATGGTTATTGTCTATTAGCTGACGGCGGACAAGAGTGCCCCATGGTCCGGAGGCAGTTCTGAGCAGTGTTTTCAACATGGCCTCTGAAGTCACTTGCTTCTTCGGCTCCTTAGATGACTTTGAGCAGGTAGCTTAGCTTTTCAGAACCTCAGCTTCCTCACAGGTAAGATGCATACAGGAAGGTCAACCTTATAGGAAAGTTAGCCCTCCTTGCTCATGATGTGTCTCCCACTCCATTGAGCAACTCCCAAATCACAGATCATCCTCAATGCCTCTTGTTGTCTACCGCTGGTGCCAGTGCCCCTCACATGGATCCTGGCTCAAGCAGACTTCGTGCGCCTCCGAGGGGAGCTGTGCTCCGTAGAAGTTTCAATGGCAGACTTTTGTACAGTAGATTGACAGGCTTCCTTCTGAGGTGCTTGGGCCAACTCCAACCTCCATCCTTTCAGTGAGTAGCTGAGCCTGCTAGCCATCGGAATGTATCTGCTCCCTCTGGGCTGATTCCGTTAGGTCGATTTTCCTACATGCATCCCAAATCACACTGCTCTCACTATTCCTCCTTCCACTGCCTTTATCAAGCCATCGTTCTTTCTTCTTAACTCTTGCTGCACACTCAGCTCAATTGTATGCCCCTTGTTCTCCTCCTTCCCACCATTCCTGTCTCCTAGAAGCTTCTGTGATGACCTATAAGATGCAAGTCACACAATACCCCGCTTACGTCCTCCAATGACTTCCTACGGAAAGGTGAAGGAAAGGCTGTCAATCTCTTTATCAGGAGCACTGGTGGTGCAATGGGTTAAGCATCAGGCTGTAATGGGAAGGTTGACAGTGTGAACCTACCAGCTGCTCCTAAGGAGAAAGAGGAGGTTTCTTCCTTCCATAAAGACGCCTAGCCTTGAAAGCTCTCTGAGAGCCCTACGTGAGGCTATGGGATCACTAGGATTTGGGACTGACTCTACAGCAAGGAGTTTGGGTTTGAGGATCCGGGCCCTCAAGACACACAGGCACAACAGTGAAGCGCTCAGCTGTCAACCAAAAAGTTGACAAGTCAAACGCATCCAGCAGTTCACCAGGAGGAAGGCCTCCTAATCTACTTCTATAAAAATTACACTCCATGAGCTCCTTTGGGGGCAGGTCTACTCGGTCACAGTGTCTCCGTGAGTAGGAAGCAACCTGACGGCATCCCACCACACCACCACTACCTACAGCAGTCTCAAGTATTGCTTTGTGCGATTACAGGTTTTGTTTTATACACATTATCTCTTCAGCACCAAGACCAGCGTTTCAAACATGTTTAAAGGAATGACCGAATGGAGCACATGCAAACTATTTACAAATGTCCCTAGCACATAAAAGTAGTAAATGAGTGAGTATGTTTTTAAAAGGTGTCACCATTCTACTATATCAACCGACAACATTATGATTAACAGAGAAAAATTCGAAGTTGTCAAGGATTTCATTTTACTTGGATCCACAATCAATGTCCACGGAAGCAGCAGTCAAGTAAGCAATGAGACAGCGCTGGGAAAATTCACTGCACATGACCTCTTCGAAGTGTGAAAGCGCACAGATGGCACGCTGAGGACTACAGTGCACACAACTCAAGCTAGGGGCTCTTACTGGACTAAGATGCTTGTGAAAGCTGGGCTTCAGAGTGGATACATTTGAATTATGGTTGGCAAGACGATGACACATACGATGATCTGTCTGAAGAAATGGCAAATCTGTCTTGGAAGAAGTACAGCCAGATGTTTCATAGAAGCAAGGATGGCAAGACTTTACTTCACATGCGTTGGACATGTTATCAGGTGAGACCAGCAAGGACATCAGGCTTGAGCGAGGATCCGTGAAAAAGAGGAAGACTCTGGTGAGACAGACGGACACAATGGCTACAGCAACGGGCTCACATGGAACAACCCTGGTGAAGACAGGGCAGGACTTGAAAGCGCTTCCTGTTGCTGTGCGTCGCGTCTCTAGGAGCTAGAGCTGGCCAGATGGCACGCGACTTTAATGATGCTTCCACTACTACCAGTCCTGGAGATTTTCTGTGTCATTCTCTTTTTTCTTAGAACACAGTCTTTTGAATTTCAGGCATATATCAAATTGACTTCAGCACTCTATTACATTCAAATAGAGGATTAGGGAATCTCATTATTTTCTTTTAAATTATTGTATCCTATTTTAAAAGCATTATTGGGGATACTTACATATGATCAAATTGATCCACTTAACACGTTTGCAATTCAATAATGTTTAGTATATTTAGGGAGCTGTGCAAGCAAGCACAATTTAATTTTAGAACCTTTAAGAAATGTTGACTACATTTCGACTCCTATCTCGAGGCATCCCCTACTCTACTTTCTTTCTCTACAGATCGATATCTGTTTTATACTTATGTACAAGTGGGATCATGCAATATGTAGTCTTTTGTGCCTGGTTTTTGTTCCTTATCATAATGACTTTGAAGTTCATTCAGGTGGTAACATATAACAGTAATCCCTTTTTATTACTGAGTAATAGTCCAATGTATGAATAGACCATTTTATTTATCCTTTGATCAATAAATAAACATTTGGATTTTTCTCACTTTTTAGTTATTATACATGAAATTATTATAGACATTTGTGTACATGTGTTTCTGTGTACATATGTTCTCCATTCTCTTGTGTAGAATTCTACCGAGAGGTTGAATTGCTGTTTTACAATTTTAGGCGAAACACTTTGAAAAGCTGCCAAACTGCTTCTCAAAGTGGCTACGCCAGTTTACGTTCTAACTGGCGATTAATAAGGGTTCCAACTTTTACAGATCCTCATTAACACTTGCTATTGTCTGTATGTTTGATTATAGCCATTCTATTGGGTGGGACACTGTATCTCATT